GGTATCAGAATAATCACTTACATGTGATGTATAGAATGCTACACAGGTCACTAAAGATAAAGTGTCAGGAGAAATAAGCAAGATACAGGATCTGTTTAACAGTAAATAGAAGTTCACATTTTTAATGTAAATAAAATAGAAGTTGTACATGTAAATTAACATTATCAATATAAAATAAAGTGTCAGTTGTATCAAGACTATAATAACAGTAATAACAATAATATAAAATGAACTGGTGAGCATCTTGTCCTCCGTTTCCTGGGCCTTGGTGAACAGCACCATCTGATCCCCGTGCATCGACTCTTTCACCACGGCACGCCGGTCCTCCAACGCCTGGACGGTGTCAAAGAAATTCGCATCCCGTGTCCGCTTTCCTAAGAGGGGAAAATAAGCAAGATACAAGATCTGTTTAGTCGCCATGTAGTTTTACAACATACTAGTGTGTGTGTGTGTGTGTGTGTAACTGCCGCTCAAAGTGCCCTTCTTTATTGTTTTGTATTTCTGAAGAGTGCTTCATGTATGCTTGAACTTTGTTTAATGTTGTTGAGGCAAGTTTTCTTACCGGTAGTCATGTGACCTCTAGCCCGGATGTTTACAATGTTTGTGAGAGAGTAAAAAGGCGCGAACATTTGTAAATGCCGGTCTAGGCGAATACGTTTTCACGCTGTTTCATAGATGCGTAACGTTCTTTCAAGACAAAGTTACAGTGTGTGTACCTTTGCGTTTGGTTGCTGGTAAGGGGGACGACCAAGCGCTGTGATCTAGAATGCAAAGCTTGCTTGTTTCCAATCCCGAGAGTTGTCCATCCTCGCCTGAAACAGACGATTAGTGCCATGAGTTAGTGAAGCAAATGACAGAAACACTGCACAGTTATTCACAAGTCAAAACGTTTTCATAGCAGCCGAGAATATCTAGCTAGCTAGATGTAGCTAGCTCGGGGCCGGTGTTATCCAGTTCAGCCTAGCATGGCTAGCTTGATCTACTGAGCAAATACAAGTACATCTGAGACCATTATTGTGCAGATTAAAACCCCAGTGCATGTAGTTGATTTTACCTTCGTCGTGGTCGTCATCGTTGGCCACTGAATCCGCCGTTTGAGCGGCCTCCCACACCATCGGTCGATGCTGTCCGGGAGAAAAGGTCTGTGGCCTAGCAGAGCATCCAAGCGCTCGTACCATTTATTGGTCTTCCGGTCGTTACCACTCTTGTTATAATAGTCTTTAATTTGTTTGTAGTCCTGCCTGAGTTTCTTTATTTTTAGCCGGTATGCCGTGGGGCTGTGCACGATTCCCAGGTCGAGTGAAAGCTACTGAACTGGCTTCAGTAGCTTTTCCTGGGTCGCGTCCTCGGCGTAGATCTCCAGAAGCGCCGACACCTCCTCATCACTCCACCGCTCCGATGATTTCTTGATGCTTGCCATAACTGCTTTCAAAAACAAACTACTCTCCGTCGGTGCGCTGGGTTTTTGTAGCGAGGAAAAACAATGGTGGCTCTACACAACATTTTCACAGTTGTACGGGGCGTGGTTTGCAATTCGCCCAGCCAATCAGCACTGGGGCACTTTTTTCCCACAGGAAAGTACGATCTCTAAGCGGGCACTAAAAATGGGGGTAAAAGTTCCCGAGATTAAGTACTCTTTTTGGTGTGAAAGCGACATAAGGGGTACTAACGGAACTAAACGCGAAAAGTACGGTGAAAAGTACTCCGGTGTGAACGCGGCTAATGTGATATATTTTCATGGGGCCCAAAATCCCTGGCGGCGCCCCTGGTTGTGTGAGTATATGGCCAGACAACACACTCTCACTCCATAAACGTCCAGGAGCGTCGCTTGGTCAGGGTCCCGAGGCGTGCAGTTGGGACGCTCCTAGGCTCCTTCAGCTTCATAAACAGACGCAAATAGCTTTCAACTGATTGCAATGTATTCCCATCTGCGGCGGGATTTGACGCTCATGGAAGCACGGCATTCGTTTGTGTCGGCGTTTGTTAAAGGCAATGTGAGCGTCCATTCCCATTGGATAACGGAGAATTGTACACCCGGAAGTAAGTATTCCCCTTACTGTCGATTGATTTGACAGTGATATCTCCACTACTCATCAACTCAAAAACACCAGATTATCCTTGTTAATTAAACGACATTGATAGGTTTTAGTGTGTGTACAATGCTTTTGTCACGTTTTCCCCTTCAATTCTGAGAAACAAGTAGTTTTCTATGAGTTTTGGATGGCCGAAGACATTACATTACCCACAATCCTCTGTAGCAACCATAGACTGTATATTGCAACAGCTTCGGTTCATGTTAATTTACAAACTCTTCAACTACAACCGTAGTTATATTTAAAAACATGTTAGAAGGCCTCACGAAATACTTTAATGTAAATTTAAATTTAAATGTGAAGGAATGTGTGTATATTAACTGTGGGTTTTTCTCTGGAAGTTTTTCCTTGTACGATGTGAGGGTCAAAGGACAGATGATGCCGTTTTTCTCATACTGATATTCCGCTATGCACGCTGGGATTTGGTGTTTATGCGATGTGAAATCCGAAAACATTTAAAAGAAATTAAATAATGACTGCTGACTGCTGGAAAGTGGTTTTACTTTAATGTATTTGTTTCGTCCATTGTGTTTACCTGCTAACTGGGGCCGACCAGTTATACAAGAGGTAGATAATAGCTGTACTTTTTTTTAATGAGCCACATGCCATGATGCACCAACATAATTGTATTATTTAGACTGACATTAAGAAGTTGAATCAACTCATTACAGGGCGAGAGAGAGAGAGAGAGAGAGAGAGAGAGAGAGAGAGAGAGAGAGAGAGAGAGAGAGAGAGAGAGAGAGAGAGAGAGAGAAAGAGAGAGAGAGAAAGAGAGAGAGAGAGAGAGAGAGAGAGATCAGACAAAGTGATATGAGTGATAGTGAAACGTTTTAACTTTCATTTAGCAAAAAATAGCGTGAAACTTTACATGCAAGTTCCAAAGTAACTTCCTGAAATGTAATTGTCTGCGGTGATTCTACGGAGTCCCCAAAGGCCCAAAATTGTGCACACAAAACATATTTTCGGCTGCCCTGGCATAAGGAAGTTGCTTTACTTATGAAATCTCTGTTAGTTTAAACTCCCACTTCACTACTTTACATTCAAAACAAAAAGCTTATAAAATGTGGCACGGCATTATTGATAAAGCTACATATTAGTCTATAAAATAGTTACATCATACTTATCTTAACCAGCAACACCAATAAAATACTGCTTCACATAAATGCATCGCAAATAATCATCAGTTTTTATTCAATGCATATAGAGGCAACAGAACCACACATCAACATTTCATCCATGCATTTCTTCACTTGTCAGTTGTTGTTCAAGCTCTCAAACAAACAAGCGGGCAGTACATCACATTGGCTCTTTTTGCTGCTACTTTGACAACATGGTTGCAACCGGTTTTGTTTTCGTGCTGTTGATGCCAATTTTCATTTTTTTATATAGTGAGTTGATGATTTCATAAACTAAGAGTGAGGTACATTTTCGCCTCGCAAATTTTCCATCCAAATGAAGCAACATTTCTAAATCATTTTCAGACAAATTTGACTACACATGTTAGTGTTGTTAGATCTTATTGTCTTATATTTTTGTACAGCACCTTGAATTGCTTTGTGTTGAAAGGTGCTGTATAAATAAACTTGCCTCGCCTTGCCTGACTCAAAATCTACTAGGATTAATAAATGTCCAAAGTGTCTATTACGTTAGTAGGAAATCCAACCTAGAGCAATTGAGCATTGGAATAGAACATGTTGTTTCATAAGGCCCAATGAGAACAAACACGAGGCAGAATCTAAACAGGAAAGTGTAAAAACATGTTGAATCATTACACATCTGATAGAACAAGAACAAGACACACCTAGTTTTAGTTTTTCTAAAAACAAAACAATGAGGTAGATAATTGCTGTACATTTTTTTAAGGAGGGGCAGCTTGGGCGCATTGTTGTACATAGCCGTGGGAACATGTTTCAAATGGGGGGTGCTGTGGGGATGACACCAGGGCCGGTTCTGACCAATTTGCTGCCCTAGGCAAGATTTTTGCTGGTTCATTTATATCTTATTTTACCAGTTAACATTTATTTATTTATTTATCCGTATTTTTTTATCTCTCCAGTTTTAAAGGATATTGTTGGTTTACTGTCCTATAGTATACATTGGAATAATTTCAAACCTGTTTTTATTTATCCTAATAATTATAAAGGTGTGCCTTGGAAATATTTGTTTACATAAATTGTGATAAAACCGTTTGAGACACACTGAGATAACTTAGACTAAAGTGAACTATCTAAACACTCAGAGTCCTTTACCTCACTGGGCCTCTCAGGGCACATGGAAAATGTAACCGGGGTGAAAAGGGTGTTATCTTTACTTAATTATGAATGTGAACATCAAGGCCGAAAATTAGTTTTTTTTGTATTATATTTGTATTATATTTCCATTTAATCTTGTGGACGTGCAGATTCCCTGTCCTCCATCAGGGGGTGCTGCAGCACCCTCAGCACCCCTACTTACCACGGCCCTGCTTCGTTGTTACTTTGCCTGTGGGAATAAGAAAAAAATAGTTAGATATACTGAATATTATTTGATCTATTCCACCACTAGCTTAATCCCAAATAATGTAGAGGTGTGGTGTAGGTGCCTTAAATAACCCCTTATTTTATAGTGAGATGTATATTTATGTTCATATAATAGTGATTTCAATGCCACCCCAAAATGATCACTGATTCCATCCTGGCCACCCCACTGAAAATGTCCTGGCTCCGCCACTGACCCCAGTTACTGTACCCCTGTTTGGTAAAGGATGTTGAGCTTTCACAATGGGATAAATTATGGAGTGCTTAAACTAAAGTACAGTGTACATAATGAAAAAATGTCAAGGACTACAGTAGCACATCAAACTATCAAACCATTCCTCAGAAGTAGTTCCATTTTCGATATGATGTGCCAATGGATTCAGGTTTTGCAGCATTGCTTGAGTTCAGCTATCCGAAACACACCGATTGATAAACCATCACATAGGCTCTCGTTCATTCACAGCTTCAGAGTCGCAGAGGTGTCCAGCTCCATCAGGTAAACATGTTACACCTTTATCCTAACTGTTAAATGAAAGTTTAATGAGAAGAATTTAACAGTATAATCTTTCTGAAGACAAAAATGATTTTTTTAAAGAATTAACTTTATTATGTTGAAATATAAAAACACAATCAAAGGTCAACTTGGATTACAATATGATAAATTCTTAGAAACAGATCTTAGTCTTTTGGTTTCTATCTGCAGCGGCAAACACACCTGCAAATGTTTAATATTTGGTTGTTTTGTTGATCTGTACATTTCCTCTTCTGTCTTAAAAGTAAATGGACTTTAATGTACTTTAAATTAATTCGGTAGTAACAATTAATTAGAAAATGTAATGGCATGTAGTAAGTCAGATTTAGTTTATAGCCCTGTAGTGGAATTGTTTTTATGTCTTGAAAGTAAATATTATCATTCATGGACTTGAATGTACTTTACATTCATTCTTAAGTAACTATTTATTTGACGAATATTTTTAAGATGTTCTTTTAAAAATTGGGGTAAGAGTTTGTTTTCCTTATTAACTGTTAGTCAAAGCTGAACACAGTAGAGTATATCAAAACATGATTGAGTGGAAACACAGTAATGGGGGCACATACACACTTTATTCGATACACCTGTTCAACTGCTCGGTAACGCAAATATATTATCAGCCAATCACTTGGCAGCAACCCAATGCATTTAGGCTTGTAGACATTGTCAAGACGACCTGGTGAAGTTCAGAATGAGGAAGAAAGGGAATTTAAGTGACTTTGAACGTGGCATGGTTGTTGGTGCCAGACGGGCTGGCCTGAGTATTTCAGAAACGTCTGATCTACTGGGATTCTCACACACAACCATCACTAGGGCTTACAGAGAATGGTCAGAAAAAGTAAAAATATCTAGTGAGCTGCAATTCTCTGGGAAGAAATGCCTTGTTTATGCCAAAGGTCAGAGGAGAATGACCAGACTGGTTAAAGACAATAGAAAGGCAACAGTAACTCAAATAACCACTCATTAAAACCAAGATATGCAGAAGACCATCTCTGAACACAAAACACTTGGAACCTTGAGTGTATAAATATATACCGTACATATTGCGTAGTGTAGCATGCTCTGCATTTCTCACAATAACAGAAATGTATTTTTTACTAGAAATTTATCTAAGAAATATTTGTTTTTCCTTTACAAGTGCGAACTGGTAGATATCAAGAAGTTGGAAGGTTTACATTTAAAGACGCTTCACATTTTCTCATAAACAAGATCTAAAGTCATATTACAGTAAACCGAAGAATGTCAAACTATTCCTCAGATACTTTCCTTTCACATTGTTTTGTGCACATTTATTCAGGTTTCGAAGCATTGTCTGCTATCAGCCAGCTGTCAGACAAGTCTAAACAAGTTATGAAAGGCTCTCCGATATCTGATCAGTTCATCTGCTAAAAGATGAATGTGATGCAATAATGGCCTTTCCATAGGGGCTCCAAATGACCCGGGGGTCGGAGGTTCCCCACCCCTGCCATAGGGGCTCCAAATTAATTACTAGCAAAATAATTGCAATATATGAGCTTTTTATAATCAGAAGTTGAGTATTTGTTTTTGCTTTGCTCTGATTTCTGTGTGAACAGGTACATTGTTCACTGTTAAACTCATCCAACATCAGATGGCAGCAAAACCCGAGACAGACTGGAACAGTGGTCTCTGTGACTGCTTTGAGGACGCGAGCACTTGTAAGAATCATAATCAAAACTTTTATTATTGGATTATCAAACCCCTTCTTTAGCAAGTAACTCTGTTGAGTATCTCTGTGTTTGTTTTGCAGGTTGCTATGGTTTCTGGTGCTGCCCTTGTCTTTCCTGCACAGTTTCAGGACGTTTTGGAGAGAACCGTTGTCTCCCATTATGTGACGTGCTCACCCCCGCTATCACAGCCGCCTGCGGGATACCCCTCGTTGTGCCTCCTGCAGTCCTGTCTTTGAGGGTTGCCATTCGTCACAGATATCATATCAAGGTATGATGTAAAGCTGATGCATACTGGACGTCCCATGTCACATTTTATGACAGTGAAGCTACTGTATGATGAATTTCCAACACAACGTTTATTTCTTTGGTTCTCTGCAGGGTTCTCTCTGTAATGACATTGCAGTGTCCTGTTTCTGTCTGTGGTGCTCCTGGTGTCAGATGCATCGTGAGTTAAAACATCAAAAAAAAGAACCCAATGTCATCATCGTGCAAAATCAACCTGTTGTACAAATGCAGCCTGCAGTGATGATGGTTCCCCAAGCTGTATATGTGACCCAACCAGGAGTCACCGTGATTTCACGCTGAGCTCTGTGGATTCTCATTGGGTCTTCTGAAGGAAATTCAATTCATGCTGCTGTTTTTGCATGTTTATCATTGAAAAAACAAAGTGCAATCACTTGAAATTAACTAAATGTAATCACTTTAAATCCATCTCTTATGCTGATTGAGTTTCTGTTTCTAATTTATAATGACAGTTATTGTTTCAATTTTCTTGGGAAGATCATATCTTTAAAATCTTTATTTCACCATGATTAATCGTAGGAAGTGAGTGTGGTCTGTAATTAAAAGAATAAATAAAGTTGTCTATAATGATAACCATACTGTTCCCTTATTGAAACCCTGTGGTGAAAAGTGAGAGCTGGATGTGAGATAGCCGTCCACCGACTGCTGACAGGGTGAGTAAAATGATCGAAGTAAATCGAACCAGAGAGATGAAGCTGGGAGTGTTGTCGCAGAACAAAGAGACAGCAAATCCGGAGATTAGTGTGGGGGAAGTTATTGTCAAGAAAGAAACCGTCACACTATTGTAGAAGTAAATTCCTTCACAGATTATCTATCATAAGATAAACATTCCTCAAATTCTCTGGATTAGGAAATTATCTATTACAAGGAACTCGAAGGAGTGACGTTGTATTAAAATGTCACTGGTTGCTTGTTCAACCAGGAAACACCAAGCAGATGAAACCAGGGTTTTTAAAGAAATGTGCAGTTAACTTTGTCTTTTGGCTATCTCTTTTAAAATCATAGAACATGTCATTAAACAAAGGGAACACTTTTAAACATATTAGAGAGAGAGAGAGAGAGAGAGAGAGAGAGAGAGAGAGAGAGAGAGAGAGAGAGGAGAGAGAGAGAGAAATAGCCTGCTGGGTGAAGCACACAGAAAACCAAACAAAAGCACCGCACTCCAATAATAGCTCTAGTCATTTTGATGACGTAGGTTTCAGAAACTGATGTATGTAATATGATGCACGTGGGAAGGTGCAGAGGAGATATCCAGCTACATCAGGTAAGACCAAATCAATTGAATTTCACTTTCTTTGTATCAGGAACATGCAGCCGTTTTTATATATGAGGATATACTTGTAAACAAAATGTCAGATACTTTAATCGTTCATCGAAGTACAGTTTTTTAAATCTGAATTGACAAAAAAACACATCTGCACATTTTTACCATCACTTTATAAACCCTGTATAACAATTCCTATGATTTTATTGCATCTGTGAAAAGTTTGTTAATGTGCTACAATATAATATGAGGTGACTTACAAAACGTACAATGCTTTCACTTCCATTAGCCTACTGCGTCAAACTGAGCTTAAAGGTGTGTCAGGTCAGGAATGATAACTTGTAAAAAGTCTGTGGCTAAAGTGTGAGTGGTTTATCGTGGGAGAGAGTTAGAAAATATATTTTGTTTTTAGTTTGCCCTTTCATTACTACTCTAGTCACTCTGTCATCAAAACTATATAGTAGCCATAAAAAAAGAAGTCTAATAAAGTATTTCACAAACAAATGATGGTTTACTCCATTGTAAGCAACAACAACAAAAAACACGTAGGCTATTGGATGCCATACAGAACTCTGTCGTGACATAACTAATCATAATATAATAAGATGATAAAAGTCTTAATATAACATATATTATTTATGAATGTCATAACATGTAACAACATTTACATAATACAGTATGTCCAATAACAGGCATTAACAAGCCATGGTCTAGTATTTCATAGAAAAATAATAAATAATAAATGAATGTCTTAAAAATTCAGAAATAGTGCTATGCCCTTCATATATCATAATATAGTATGTCATGCGACAATTATAATACGATTCATAATAAAGCATATCATGCACTGGTGCCACACATTTGGTTTTTCTGATTTCTCTTTGTTAAGAGGTTCATTGTTCACCGTCTTTGGCGAAAGTTACCCAACAACAATGGCAGGAGAACCAGAGAAAGTCTGGAGCAGCGCTCTCCTCGACTGCTTTGAGGACATCAATACGTGTAAGAATTCAATACAGCTATGTTGATACATTTTCATTGTATTGGGATAAGGCCTTATTTTGTCCTATAGGGCCTTCATTTAAAAGTCACTGTGAGAGTCAATACAACTGTGGTGTGTCTTTGTGGGTTTTCAGGTTGCTATGGTTTCTGGTGCGGCCCTTGTCTTGCCTGCACCGTTTCAGGACGGTTCGGAGAGAATTATTGTTTCCCATTATGTGACATAGTATCCCTGTGCACATCAGTAATGATCGGAATGCCCATCTGTGTTCCTCCTGCAGCCCTGTCTACTAGGGCTGCCATGCGAAACAGATACCATATCAGGGTACGGTATGATGCATGTGAAGTGTATACTAAATGATGTATGCTACATTTCACACGACAAGTTTAATCAAAGTGAAGCACTGTCTAGTATACAACATAACATGTTACTTTTCTTCGGATCTCTGCAGGGTTCTCTCTGCGACGACGTTGCAGTGTCCTGTTTCTGTCAGTGGTGCTCCTGGTGTCAGATGCACCGTGAGTTAAAATATCGCAATATCGTTCCTGTTGTCATCAATATGCAGCATCAAACCGTGGTGCAAATACAGAATCAAAACATACCACAAATGCAGAATCAATACATACCACAAATACAGAATCAATACATACCACAAATACAGAATCAAAACATGCCACAAATGCAGAATCAATACATACCACGAATGCAGAATCAAAACCTGCCACAAATGCAGCCTGTCTTTGTGACGACGGCTCAACCACAGCCAGTTGGTTCTGTGAGCCCACCAGCATACGAGAAGTCACCCTGATTCTCTGGCATCTCATTGGTCGGTTGTGTCTTGGGAAAAAAATATTATTCTGCTCAGATCGTACGGCTGTTTATTTTAGTATGTTTTTATCAGTGAAACACAAAGATTGAAGCTCATTTGTATTCTGTTCCCATAGTATGAAGAACACATTTCAGTTTCCTAATAATAGTTTAAAACATCTTCAAGCCCATGAGGCTTCATTCACACATCACTTATAGTCATATAACAATGTTAACCATTAGTTTCAAATTATTTGTATTATTGTTAATCCTTATTTCTGGATGTATCCTAAACCGCTATTTGTTTCTGAGAGGTTTGTTCCAAGTCAATGAGAGGCAGAAATGAAGCAGACACACCGGTTTATCCACTCGGTTGACTGCTTCGGCACATTTCTTCTGAAAGCAAAACTAGTTCACTCCTCTCACTTTCACTTCTCTTCTCAAGAAGTCTATTGTTTTAAAGAATGTGAAACTTTTCCATTTCTAATTTACTTAGAGGATATTACATTTAAACTTTAGATGTTATTGCTTTTGTTGTTGACTCATTGTGAGACTTGTAGAATGAAGGGATTATTTCAGATGTAATTAAGCTTTTTTTAATGTTAGTTTATAATTTACGTTACTTGTTTATAGCTTTAGCATGTTTTGATCTGTTAAATTAATGGTTGGTTATTTGTGTTTGTTTGTGAATAAACCACTATAATAAAACAGATTTTCAGTTTCCAGTTTATATATGTACAGAAAGAAACACACAAAATCCAAATGGTCTATTTTAAGCGATTTCATTTGTTTTGTATTGATGATGGTTTCCTGCTTTGGACCACAAGAGACATACACATGTTCCATTTTGTCTTTTCTCCATGGGGAGAAGTCAGTTTACTGAAAATGTTGTGTTTGAAAAGTCCCAAGATTTAAAGTCCAATGATTTTACAATCCTCGTATTTTCTTTCCTGTTGAAAACTGCTCCCAGAATGGCGAGCCCTTCACCACTACGATGAAGCTGGGAGAGCCTGCCTTGACGGAAAACCTGTTAACAGAACAAAGAGACAGGGAATCAGGAAACTAGAGCGAAGGAATTTAGTGTCAGTGTAGTGTTAGAAAGAAACCTTGGCACCATGGTAGTAACACATTCCTACCTAACACATTCCTACAGATCACCTTTATTTAATTAAAGTTGCCAGACTAGAAAACAGCAAACAACTGACAGCAGGGTTTTTAAAGAAATGTGCATGGTTCTCATTGTTGTTTTTTTAAACTGACTGGATTAAGTCATACTGTAAAAACTTTGAAATTGTAGATTTTACTTTTTATAACCAGATTTTACCATTTCTTTATGTTTTTCCTAATGGACAACTACATTATATTTCTTTAAAAAAAAATGGTGGTATTATGTAGGAAATCAGTCTCACTTTTTTAGAAGGATGCAGAATTTAATAGCAAAAAGGACACTATGTTGACTTTTTCAGAGTGGTATTGTCAATTATTCATGACATCTATTGTGGTGAAGAAAAAAAAAAAATTATATTCTAAGTGCTTTCAGCTTAATCTACTTTCTATAGGAGTGACTCATGGGCGTAGGAAGCATCCTCAATGTGGGTGGGACAATTTGGCAGGGGGTGTGGGCGGGTGGTGGAACTCACCTCCTCTAGGGGGGTCCGGGGGCATGCTCCCCCGGGAAGATTTTTTTTTAAATGTTAAAGTTAAAAGCATCAATCTGGTGCACTTTGAGAGCAACATTAGAGGATCTATGGATACCTCTCTCAACACCCATATGAAACAGAACTGTAAACAGATTTACTTTTTCTTTATGCATATTTTACAAATCACTCCCCTTTTAAACTGTATTTTTGTGTTACTGTCCTATAGTATGAGTTGGAATTATTTCATACCTGTTATTCTCTTGTTTTTTATAACTATAATGATCATATAAAAGTGTGCCTTGGAAATATTGTTTACATGAATGATTCTGCGCATTGAAGACAAGAAGGCTGAACTGTTCTCCTTCCTGGCAACCAGTGTGACAGCCCTCAACACTGGCAAACAAATAATCAGTATTTGCACCATGCACACATGAGGAGGCTGATAACCGCATCCTACATCCTAATAGGAGGTCTAAAAAAAAATGTATTTAGAAAATATTAACATTAGAAATAATAAGCACACCATTTATAATTTACAGAAATGCAGTAAAAAGAAAAATGGACATAGATTAGATTCACACCTTAAAAGGTGTGAAAGGAGGGATTTGTGGAGTCTATTTTTATATAACATTACAAGATTCTTATTATTACATTATTTGCTTATTGTGCTCATTTTATGTTGCTGTGACTTTGGAATAAATAGACACAATCACCCCCCCCCCCACCAAATTACGTATGATAGAGACAGAGTAGGGAGGGACTTCTCCAGCCGGGCGAATGATGATTGGAGGATCGTGTTGTCAAGAGACTCTTGTCTGAGTCTGTGCACCAACCAAAGAGAACCAAGTCTAAACCGTAAAATGTACGGGCAACGCCCTGTGTAATAAAATGTATGCACGCACGAGGTTCGAGGCTCTTGTCCGGAAATAGACTGACAGATTACAGCTTTGCTGTCTGTGATTTCTAGGACATGACGGAGTCCTTGGCCAAGTGATATATATCTTTTGCTCTCTCATAATACATAGTTAAACTTAGAAGTCGTCTGTCTTTCCTGGAATTTTGAACACAACACAACCAGTGTGACAGCCCTCAACACTGGCAAACAAATAATCAGTATTTGCACCATGCACACATGAGGAGGCTGATAACCGCATCCTACTGCACCAGGAGATGCTGTGAAGGAAGGGTATAGCAAGGTGTCAATATGCACAGTTGACACGGATGTGGTAGTATTGGCAGTCACAGCAGCCCAATCCCTCAACATCACTGAGCTGTGGGTTGCCTTTGGCTGGGAAGAGTGTTCAGCATATAGCAGCTCATGAGATGGCGAGATCACTAGGTCCGGATCGATGCATAGCCTAAAGTAAGACATGATAAACACATTTTCAAGGGCGAGCACATCAAACTAACAAACCATTCCTCAGAAGTAGTTCTGTTTTCGATATTTTGTGCCAATGGATTCAGGTTTTGCAGCATTGCTTGAGTTCAGCTATCCGAAACACACCGATTGATAAACCATCACATAGGCTCTCGTTCATTCACAGCTTCAGAGTCGCAGAGGTGTCCAGCTCCATCAGGTAAACATGTTACACCTTTATCCTAACTGTTAAATGAAAGTTTAATGAGAAGAATTTAACAGTATAATCTTTCTGAAGACAAAAATGATTTTTTTTAAAGAATTAACTTTATTATGTTGAAATATAAAAACACAATCAAAGGTCAACTTGGATTACAATATGATAAATTCTTAGAAACAGATCTTAGTCTTTTGGTTTCTATCTGCAGCGGCAAACACACCTGCAAATGTTTAATATTTGGTTGTTTTGTTGATCTGTACATTTCCTCTTCTGTCTTAAAAGTAAATGGACTTTAATGTACTTTAAATTAATTCGGTAGTAACAATTAATTAGAAAATGTAATGGCATGTAGTAAGTCAGATTTAGTTTATAGCCCTGTAGTGGAATTGTTTTTATGTCTTGAAAGTAAATATTATCATTCATGGACTTGAATGTACTTTACATTCATTCTTAAGTAACTATTTATTTGACGAATATTTTTAAGATGTTCTTTTAAAAATTGGGGTAAGAGTTTGTTTTCCTTATTAACTGTTAGTCAAAGCTGAACACAGTACAGTATATCAAAACATGATTGAGTGGAAACACAGTAATGGGGGCACATACACACTTTATTCGATACACCTGTTCAACTGCTCGGTAACGCAAATATATTATCAGCCAATCACTTGGCAGCAACCCAATGCATTTTGGCTTGTAGACATTGTCAAGACGACCTGGTGAAGTTCAGAATGAGGAAGAAAGGGAATTTAAGTGACTTTGAACGTGGCATGGTTGTTGGTGCCAGACGGGCTGGCCTGAGTATTTCAGAAACGTCTGATCTACTGGGATTCTCACACACAACCATCACTAGGGCTTACAGAGAATGGTCAGAAAAAGTGAAAATATCTAGTGAGCGGCAATTCTCTGGGAAGAAATGCCTTGTTTATGCCAAAGGTCAGAGGAGAATGACCAGACTGGTTAAAGACAATAGAAAGGCAACAGTAACTCAAATAACCACTCATTAAAACCAAGATATGCAGAAGACCATCTCTGAACACAAAACACTTGGAACCTTGAGTGTATAAATATATACCGTACATATTGCGTAGTGTAGCATGCTCTGCATTTCTCACAATAACAGAAATGTATTTTTTACTAGCAATTTATCTAAGAAATATTTGTTTTTCCTTTACAAGTGCGAACTGGTAGATATCAAGAAGTTGGAAGGTTTACATTTAAAGACGCTTCACATTTTCTCATAAACAAGATCTAAAGTCATATTACAGTAAACCGAAGAATGTCAAACTATTCCTCAGATACTTTCCCTTCACATTGTTTTGTGCACATTTATTCAGGTTTCGAAGCATTGTCTGCTATCAGCCAGCTGTCAGACAAGTCTAAACAAGTTATGAAAGGCTCTCCGATATCTGATCAGTTCATCTGCTAAAAGATGAATGTGATGCAATAATGGCCTTTCCATAGGGGCTCCAAATGACCCGGGGGTCGGAGGTTCCCCACCCCTGCCATAGGGGCTCCAAATTAATTACTAGCAAAATAATTGCAATATATGAGCTTTTTATAATCAGAAGTTGAGTATTTGTTTTTGCTTTGCTCTGATTTCTGTGTGAACAGGTACATTGTTCACTGTTAAACTCATCCAACATCAGATGGCAGCAAAACCCGAGACAGACTGGAACAGTGGTCTCTGTGACTGCTTTGAGGACGTGAGCACTTGTAAGAATCATAATCAAAACTTTTATTATTGGATTATCAAACCCCTTCTTTAGCAAGTAACTCTGTTGAGTATCTCTGTGTTTGTTTTGCAGGTTGCTATGGTTTCTGGTGCTGCCCTTGTCTTTCCTGCACAGTTTCAGGACGTTTTGGAGAGAACCGTTGTCTCCCATTATGTGACATGCTCAGCCCCGCTATCACAGCCGCCTGCGGGATACCCCTCGTTGTGCCTCCTGCAGTCCTGTCTTTGAGGGTTGCCATTCGTCACAGATATCATATCAAGGTATGATGTAAAGCTGATGCATACTGGACGTCCCATGTCACATTTTATGACAGTGAAGCTACTGTATGATGAATTTCCAACACAACGTTTATTTCTTTGGTTCTCTGCAGGGTTCTCTCTGTAATGACATTGCAGTGTCCTGTTTCTGTCTGTGGTGCTCCTGGTGTCAGATGCATCGTGAGTTAAAACATCAAAAAAAAGAACCCAATGTCATCATCGTGCAAAATCAACCTGTTGTACAAATGCAGCCTGCAGTGATGATGGTTCCCCAAGCTGTATATGTGACCCAACCAGGAGTCACCGTGATTTCACGCTGAGCTGTGGATTCTCATTGGGTCTTCTGAAGGAAATTCAATTCATGCTGCTGTTTTTGCATGTTTATCATTGAAAAAACAAAGTGCAATCACTTGAAATTAACTAAATGTAATCACTTTAAATCCATCTCTTATGCTGATTGAGTTTCTGTTTCTAATTTATAATGACAGTTATTGTTTCAATTTTCTTGGGAAGATCATATCTTTAAAATCTTTATTTCACCATGATTAATCGTAGGAAGTGAGTGTGGTCTGTAATTAAAAGAATAAATAAAGTTGTCTATAATGATAACCATACTGTTCCCTTATTGAAACCCTGTGATGAAAAGTGAGAGCTGGATGTGAGATAGCCGTCCACCGACTGCTGACAGGGTGAGTAAAATGATCGAAGTAAATCGAACCAGAGAGATGAAGCTGGGAGTGTTGTCGCAAAACAAAGAGACAGCAAATCCGGAGATTAGTGTGGGGGAAGTTATTGTCAAGAAAGAAACCGTCACACTATTGTAGAAGTAAATTCCTTCACAGATTATCTATCATGAGATAAACATTCCTCAAATTCTCTGGATTAGGAAATTATCTATTACAAGGAACTCGAAGGAGTGTCGTTGTATTAAAATGTCACTGGTTGCTTGTTCAACCAGGAAACACCAAGCAGATGAAACCAGGGTTTTTAAAGAAATGTGCAGTTAACTTTGTCTTTTGGCTATCTCTTTTAAAATCATAGAACATGTCATTAAACAAAGGGAACACTTTTAAACATATTAGAGAGAGAGAGAGAGAGAGAGAGAGAGAGAGAGAGAGAGAGAGAGAGAGAGAGAGAGAGAGAGAGAGAGAGAGAGAGAGAGGAGAGAGAGAGAGAAATAGCCTGCTGGGTGAAGCACACAGAAAACCAAACAAAAGCACCGCACTCCAATAATAGCTCTAGTCATTTTGATGACGTAGGTTTCAGAAACTAATGTATGTAATATGATGCACGTGGGAAGGTGCAGAGGAGATATCCAGCTACATCAGGTAAGACCAAATCAATTGAATTTCACTTTCTTTGTATCAGGAACATGCAGCCGTTTTTATATATGAGGATATACTTGTAAACAAAATGTCAGATACTTTAATCGTTCATCGAAGTACAGTTTTTTAAATCTGAATTGACAAAAAAACACATCTGCACATTTTTACCATCACTTTATAAACCCTGTATAACAATTCCTATGATTTCATTGCATCTGTGAAAAGTTTGTTAATGTGCTACAATATAATATGAGGTGACTTACAAAACGTACAATGCTTTCACTTCCATTAGCCTACTGCGTCAAACTGAGCTTAAAGGTGTGTCAGGTCAGGAATGATAACTTGTAAAAAGTCTGTGGCTAAAGTGTGAGTGGTTTATCGTGGGAGAGAGTTAGAAAATATATTTTGTTTTTAGTTTGCCCTTTCATTGTAGGCTACTGCCCTGAACCATATCCCGGCTACTCTAGTCACTGTATAGTAGCCATAAAAAAAGAAGTCTATTAAAGTATTTCACAAACAAATGATGGTTTACTCCATTGTAAGCAACAACAACAAAAAACACGTAGGCTATTGGATGCCATACAGAACTCTGTCGTGACATAACTAATCATAATATAATAAGATGATAAAAGTCTTAATATAACATATATTATTTATGAATGTCATAACATGTAACAACATTTACATAATACAGTATGTCCAATAACAGGCATTAACAAGCCATGGTCTAGTATTTCATAGAAAAATAATAAATAATAAATGAATGTCTTAAAAATTCAGAAATAGTGCTATGCCCTTCATATATCATAATATAGTATGTCATGCGACAATTATAATACGATTCATAATAAAGCATATCATGCCACACATTTGGTTTTTCTGATTTCTCTTTGTTAAGAGGTTCATTGTTCACCGTCTTTGGCGAAAGTTACCCAACAACAATGGCAGGAGAACCAGAGAAAGTCTGGAGCAGCGCTCTCCTCGACTGCTTTGAGGACATCAATACGTGTAAGAATTCAATACAGCTATGTTGATACATTTTCATTGTATTGGGATAAGGCCTTATTTTGTCCTATAGGGCCTTCATTTAAAAGTCACTGTGAGAGTCAATACAACTGTGGTGTGTCTTTGTGGGTTTTCAGGTTGCTATGGTTTCTGGTGCGGCCCTTGTCTTGCCTGCACCGTTTCAGGACGGTTCGGAGAGAATTATTGTTTCCCATTATGTGACATAGTATCCCTGTGCACATTAGTAATGATCGGAATGCCCATCTGTGTTCCTCCTGCAGCCCTGTCTACTAGGGCTGCCATGCGAAACAGATACCATATCAGGGTACGGTATGATGCATGTGAAGTGTATACTAAATGATGTATGCTACATTTCACACGACAAGTTTAATCAAAGTGAAGCACTGTCTAGTATACAACATAACATGTTACTTTTCTTCGGATCTCTGCAGGGTTCTCTCTGCGACGACGTTGCAGTGTCCTGTTTCTGTCAGTGGTGCTCCTGGTGTCAGATGCACCGTGAGTTAAAATATCGCAATATCGTTCCTGTTGTCATCAATATGCAGCATCAAACCGTGGTGCAAATACAGAATCAAAACATACCACAAATGCAGAATCAATACATACCACAAATACAGAATCAATACATACCACAAATACAGAATCAAAACATGCCACAAATGCAGAATCAATACATACCACAAATGCAGAATCAATACATACCACAAATGCAGAATCAAAACCTGCCACAAATGCAGCCTGTCTTTGTGACGACGGCTCAACCACAGCCAGTTGGTTCTGTGAGCCCACCAGCATACGAGAAGTCACCCTGATTCTCTGGCATCTCATTGGTCGGTTGTGTCTTGGGAAAAAAATATTATTCTGCTCAGATCGTACGGCTGTTTATTTTAGTATGTTTTTATCAGTGAAACACAAAGATTGAAGCTCATTTGTATTCTGTTCCCATGGTATGAAGAACACATTTCAGTTTCCTAATAATAGTTTAAAACATCTTCAAGCCCATGAGGCTTCATTCACACATCACTTATAGTCATATAACAATGTTAACCATTAGTTTCAAATTATTTGTATTATTGTTAATCCATTCCTCAGAAGTAGTTCCGTTTTCGATATTTTGTGCCAATGGATTCAGGTTTTGCAGCATTGCTTGAGTTCAGCTGTCCGAAACACACCGATTGATACTTCTAAACCAGGGGTGGGGAACCTCCGGCCCCCGGGCCGTATACGGCCCGCGAGACCATTTGATACGGCCCTCGGGGTAATTTATAAACACACGCAAAAAATGTAAGAAATCTAGACCGCAAAAGAATTAAACAAGCGAGTGCCTGTTTTTCCTGGCCAAGGTCAGGGTCCTTGAACACAACACGAGCCTAACCCCTAGATTCCACCGGGTCCGTCTGCGCCGCGTTGCGGTTTTGGTCCGGCCTCCTCCGGCGTCATACCCTACCAGGCGCGTTTCAGAAGCATTTCAGAAGCGGAGCGTCTTGCCTGCCGGCTCGCAGTTTTTGTTGATTTGGGCATATTTCCTGGACAGGCTACTTTGTACAGACAAAGTTAATAATAACTGTAATATTCCAGTTATAAACGACATGAATCAAAGATGTGTTGCTGTATTTTAGTGGTAAAAAAATGCATTCATCATCATAATTATTCTATATATATATAATTTACACAGTGCCTGTACCGGCAGTCACGGGGAAGGGCTGCCCGACCGAGGCAGGCTCCGCAGCAGAGAGCGCCCGGGTGGGGAGCTCCATCTTCCCGGAGTTGACTAGCGGGGAGAGGTAGCGCCTCGTGGGGGGGGAGATTCTCTCTACCGGGGACGCGAGGGCAAATCCCGCGTCCTCCCTATTTAATGCCCAGATCCCCGTTAAAACTTTTACAAATAAAGATGGTGTTGATCTGTATCCAAGTCTGAGTGTCCTTTGTTTCCACAATACACTTACACATGTTGATGACTGTACCAATTCCCCACTCGCCGCCCCAGCTGTAGCTCCTGTTAGGGAGGAGGCTAGTGGGAGTGCGCAGATGAGAGTGATAAACCGCAGGCAGCGCTATTATAGTGCGATGCGGGTACAGGGACATTATGGCCGACGTTTTTCTGTTAGAAAACACTCTATGCCTGAAGCTAAGACTCCAAATAATGCTGTTTACCATAGTGGTAGGGGCTGCATTATAGCAACGCCCGCACTTGTAAAGGGGCGCGTGGCGGTGCGTTCAGGGGCCTTAGTAAAACACACTACGCCTGTAAGAGCTCCGATTAATGCTGTTTTCCGTAGTGGTGAAAATAGCATTATGGTGGAGCGTGCGCTCACACGTGAGCGTGCGGGGGTGCGTTCAGGGTCCTCCATAGATAATCGGCCCTTTCTGTCTCGACCCCCCAGAGGGTGTGCTCTGTCAGCCGCAGCCCAGATTTCTCCTCGGTTACAACCGGGTTAAAGGGGAATGTGGGGCAGCAGCTGCTGACCAGAAAAGCCGGTCAGGGGCAGTAGGGTGGAATGGTGTTGTTGGACGACAGTGCGCGTATACATCAGGGCTCCACCCACTGTACCCATAGAGTCCAGTAGAGGGCGGAGCCTGTGAGAGATATAACGTTGGGTTACGTATTGTAACCCTTGTTATATTAGCACAGGCGGAGCCCTCTACTCAGGGCACTGTCTGTCCTATTCCGCTCGCTGAAGAGAGGTGTAGGATGATAGTCAGGAGGCGAGGCCTCCTTTTATACGGTGTGATGCGCGCGCATTCAGGTAGGCCCGCCCTAGGCCGGCTACGTCTATAGAAGTCTCAGTGGGAGAATGCACGCAGGATAAGGTAGTACCCATAGAGTCCAGTAGAGGGCTCCGCCTGTGCTAATATAACAAGGGTTACAATACGTAACCCAACGTTTTGAACATTGCAGACTGAAGCTCAGCGCTAACTTTTATACGTTCTGCCTTGGCTCCAAAAACCATTACCTCAGTTTTATCTTTGTTTAATTGGAGAAAGTTCTGACACATCCAGTCATTGATTTGTTCAATGCACTTACTCAGTGTTTGAATTGGAGCATAGTCTCCTGCTGAAATTGTTACGTAAATGTGTGTGTCATCCGCATAGCTATGGTAACTTATTTAGTTGTTTTTCATTATCTGAGCTAGTGGTAGCATGTAGATGTTAAAGAGAAGAGGTCCCAAGATGGAGCCTTGAGGTACCCCACATGTCATATTTGTCAACTCAGATGTGTATTTACCTATAGAAACAACGTTTTTTCTGTCCTTTAAGTAG